CCTGTCATTGTCCAAGATGTAGCCACTAGTTACACGTAGCCATGGAGCACTTGAAATATGGCTGACATGACTGGGGAAATAAATATTTACTGGTTCATCTTCTTAATAGCGTTTATAATGATCTGGGGTTATTTTGCTCACTTATTTCTTCATTTGTTTATTGCCTGCCTCCCTTAGCATACAGAACAGTGCCTGGCACGTAATAGGTACTCAAAAATATTTATTGAAGGCATTGCATGAATGGAGGAAACCATTTATAATTGTTAGTCTACTGATTTTGTAGAATAATTAAGTATATGTCATTAAAAGGGAGTCATTTTTGCTAAAGTCCCCTTGGTCAGTATTTATATCACTCTCTCTAGTGATATATTCATTTCAAAATATATTGGGACAATGATGTCCATTGCATGCTAGAATTAATTTTAAGGCAAGTATTGTTGGTTGCCTTCTAGGATTTATGAATAGAGTGGCAGACAAAGATTTATACAAAATGTGTGCAAAATGGACTACTCAAGTTCCACAATGTGAATATACTTAAAGCTACCTAATTATACACTTAAAAATGGTTAAATGTTATGAATTTTATATTTATTTTGTCACATTTTTTAAAATGAAAAAATAAAAGGACTATCCAAACTTACATTAGAGCTCAAAGTATAGTGAATAGTTTCCAGGAGAATGATATATTTACCGATATAGGATCCTTTTCATGGATCCATGGCATATTTCTACTAATGTTCTTTTATTTTAGTGGCCTGCAGAGCTTCCTTCCATGCCATTCTGCTCACTCTCTTTTGTTTATCTGACACTTCCTTTTCAGGCCTCTGACTCTTCACCCTCTATGTGTCCTTTGCCAACTGTCATCTCTTTCTGTACATTGTGGTATTGCCTCATTTCAATCTTTACCACTAAGCAGATCACTCTTAAAACTCTCTCCAGCCCTGAAAGCTTTCAGCACCCAAGTTCTGCATTTCATCTGCCAGCTAGATATTTTCAAGTAATATCTCTGTTAGTAATTATCGTGTAACATATTGCCTCAAACTTAGTGGCTTAAACAAGAAACGTTAATTATCTCTCAGTTTCTGCACATGACGAATTCAAGGTGAAGATCACTGAGGACAATCTTGGAAGAGACCGTGATTGTACCCCAGATAAAGCAGAAATTCCTCATCTTGCTAAGCAAACCCACTTCATCTGCCATGGGCTGCACTATATTAATGGCATCAGTGTCCTACAGTATCCAAGCTCAACACCTTGGAGTTATCTGTGAATTTTTTTCTCTCTCCACAGCCAATTTCTTGCTAAATCCTGTTACCTCTTTCTTTTCCTTGAATTTGCTTCATTCCTTTTGTTGGTCACTTGGATCACTTCAGTAGCTTTCTCAAGGCTGCAGGCTTCATGCAGCACAGCTTTGATACTGCTCCAGCTATGTCCCCAAACCTTCACTGGGACAGAAGTCATAAAGAAAACAATGGCTAAGTTTGACAGTATAAAGCTATAAAACTTCTGTGTAACAAATAAACATCATTAATAAATTGAAAGAAAATTGACAAAATGTCAAAATATTTGTAAATATAGACTAAAGGGTGCTAGCTTTTTATAAATCAATAAAAAAACAAAACCCATACAAAAGAAGTCATACAAAAATTTCAAACTCTTTGGTAAACTAATTAATGTAAATAAATCAATAAATTATCATTTTTTGCTTATATAATTGGGGAGGATTAAAATAATATAAAAGTGGAGGAAAGCAAGTACTGTCTTTACTGATGCCCTGTCTGACAAAGAGTAAGGTCCACGATACATTGTAAAGATGGAAAAAAAAATCAGGCCACAAAAAGTCATGTGTATATATATAAAAAAAAGTTATATATATATATATGGGTGTTTATATGTGTACTGTTAATATTACATATACACACACAACATTAACGGTGATCTATGAAAATCTAAGTGGCTCGAAAGATTTTTCTCAACCTCTCTTGAGATCCTACTTCCAGATATATCCTGTTTGCCTCAAATAAATTTTTATAAAAATTCTCTTATAATCTAAGTAGCTCTTGGAAATTATGTTGTGGGTGAAGTATTGACATGGAAAATACCACAACTTTTGCTAATTGAGAAAATAGTATGTGTAGAATGACACAATCTTTGTAAAAATCTATACAATATACATATTGTATAAAATCTATACAATATATGTATACACATATTCAGGTATGCGTATACCCACAGGTATATTCACATACATACAAAGGAAAAAAGATATACTTGTTATTTTCTAGGTGGAATGTGGGATTATTAATAATTTTTGCCTTGTACTTTTACATTGTTTCACTCTTCAGATTAGTTTTGACATCCCCTCTGATTTGTTTCCTAATCTCATTTCCAACCTTCCCTCCAGGTACCCTTCTGTTTTTCCACATACACATCCTTCACACTCCAGCTTCTGTGCTTTCCTGTGGGGTTCTCACTTACAAGACGGTCTTTGCCTGCCATCAAGATCCCATTTGTTCAAGGCTGAGCTCCAGGATGCCTTCCAGGGCTTTCCCGCTCTAAACTTCTAAACTGATCTCTCTTTCTCCATAAACTCCATAGCTTTTTATTGGTACTGCAGTTATGTACTGATTGCTTTCTACTTTGATGTGCTTCAGCTGTTTATTTGATGCCTTCTCCCTTTTCTGAAATTATGTGTTTTATGCAAGCAGAATCCTTATCTCATTCATCTTGATATTCCACAGAGCACCTAATAATGCTTTGCATCAGCAGGTATTCAATAAATAGTTACTGGAGAAATGATTCACTGAATAGGTACTTTCAGGACCTCTGGCTCTATTAAGCTGGTACATACTTAGGAGGTATAAAACCATTTTAATTCTAAGTAAAGAAAAAATACTTGGGAGGTGAATTTGTTAAGGAACTCAAGGGGTTTGCTACTTTGGGTGTTCTGCTCAAGAATAAGACGCTGTTGTCATTAAATGGTTTTATTATTAACTTTTGTTGTTAAGTGTTATTACCTTGCAGCAAGTAAAGGAGAAGGGATTCACACCCAAAGCCTTGTCTCTCGAAGAGAGGCTTAGCCATTGCTTATATACACTATTTGTTTAATTACATGTTGATTTCTTCTTTGCAGTTGGCTAAATTTATCAATTTCTGGACAACCTCATCAGGTTATAGCTGCCTCTGCAAAATACTGTGCTACATTTTAACATTTAGCAAGAACAGCATTTAGTAAGAACCGCCCAGACCTTGAGACGCTTGTCCTAACAAACCCTCTGTAAAAATATATATTAATGCATTTCATAGTATCGCTCCCATTATTTAGTACAGATGATCAAAAATGGTATTTTTCTAATACAGTACAGGTTTTTTTTTTAATCCTTTTATTCATGAGCCAACTTTGTCTCTATACCATTAATAAACAATGTTATATTAGGCCTCATTATTCTCACTTTCCCATATTTCATGTTAACAAGTTTGCCTAGCAACATCTGTGTCACACAGTATTAATGTTTATTACTTCTTTCTTCCTTTCTATGTTAATGTAGTTTTTCATTATTTCTTATCTTGAGAAATTTACATTTTTTTCTCATTTCTCCAGTACCTCTCAGAAAACTCTAGACTATAGAACTTAAATTGTTTATTTTGTTACAAGAACCCAAAAGCTAATATTTTCTGTCATCCTACCATTATCAAGCATACTCTTTTATTTCTTGCCTTAAAAGAGTGTTATATGTTTTCTTGAAATAACAAAAATAAAAAATTTTTATTGTAGAAATTTTGAAAAGAATCAAAGGGTAAAATAAGACCATTTAGAGGAAAATAAAAATTACTTAAAACCTCTCTCTTAATCGCTATCAACATTATGGTGACTCTCCAGGTTATTTTTAATGCATTAATGTATTTTATAAGTTATTAGAATGATTGGTGTCATGGTGGATATACTCTTTTATAGCAGCTTTTTACACTTAGCAATATATTGTGAATATTTTATCGTGTCAGTGTTTTCATATAATAAAATATTCTTGCATGATAATATTAAATGTTCACAATAACAATAATGTTACCACATACCAGGTGTCTATTACATGTCATGCCATCCTAGGTGTTTTACATATATCAACTTCTTTAGTCCTCCCAATAATCCTGAAAACTAGATCTCATTACTCTCATTGTATAGGTGAAAGAGCTGAGGCTCAAAGAGGTTAAGCGATTTGCTCAAGGATGCACAGTAACCTAGCACATCCTTGCTCTTTCTCTGCTCTTTCCACTAGAACACATTGCTACCCTTGATTTTTAATGACTACATATTACGACATCAGGTTTAGAATATCACAATTTAACTTTTTCTACTTCCAGACAATTATGTTGTCTGATTTTTTTTTGCTTTGATTAAATACCTATATATGTAGAGTATGATTCATTTTTATTAAACAATATACATAGTATATATTATATAAGTAGATATATTTACCTATACATGTATTAAATAAAAAGGGTCTAAAAATTAACAGTAATTACCCCGAAAAAATAGGAACTCATGGAATGGATGGGGAGGAAAAAGGGAAGTTCCATTTGACCTTATTCACTTCTATCTGGCTTAAAATATTTTTAAAAATCACAAGCATGTATTTTTAAGAATATTAAGAATAAAACACTTTAATGATGGCTTTTGTATGAGAATCTTCAGGCACATTTCTGATTATTTTCTTTGGTTAAATTTTCAGAAGACATTATTAATAAGTCAAAAATAGAAGCATTTTAAAGTTCCTTATTACATACTGTAAAATTGCTTTCTCAGAAAAACTACCCATTTATAGACTTACCCATTTATATACTTACACCAGAAGTATATGAGTGTTCATTTTGCTGCTTTCTGGTTGACAGTGGGTATTAACATTCTTTTGGTCTTTGCCAGTTTCACAGAAGAAACATTCTATCAAACTTTGTTTTAGTTTTTATTCTTTAATTTCTGTGTGAAGTTGAATATTTTTTCTGTTTATCAGCTGTTTTTATTTCTTTTATTTTTTGTGAGTTGCCTATTCAGATATTTTGCCATATTTGTATTGATGTTTGCCAGAATTAATTTTTAATTAATTCTGATTAATTGCCAGAATTCTTTATATATTCAAATACAAAATTTTTGTCAAATATATTGTTAGTTTTTTTTTTTTACTTAACTTATGTTTGCTTTTAATTTTGTTTGTAATATTCTTATGAAAAATAGTTAAATTTTTTTAAGGAGCTAAATCTATCCGTCTGGTAGGAATAATTCAGTAATTTTTATTTCAAAACTCATGTACTATCTATACAATTTAAATTGGGGTGGAAGGTATTGAAGCTTAGAAAGGCTAAATAACTTACTGAAGGATACATACAGAGCAGTAAAGTTGGGATCGAGAATGTTAATTAAAAAAAATTCTTATTTCTAAATGAGGATGAGAAATTTGGAAACTCACCCATTACGTGTGCACCAATGGTAAAAGAATATTATGGAGAGGAACAGAAGGTGGGCAGCTGGACTGGAAGTCAGGGTGGAAATGACAAGTAGGCAAAGAGTCAGGAACAAGGGAGGAAAAGTAGAAATGAGGTGTGGCTACTGCATTGGCACCAAAACATTTGAAAAGTACTGTCCATAGATGACAAATAGAATAATAAGAAAATACAGTGACCATAAATGAAGTCACAAGACACAATTTTTGTTTGAAAATGAAAAATGTGGTAATCTTAATACTGAACTTTACTAGTCTCATGTGATATATGACACATTTTCATATCTTAGGTTTTATTTGTTTCTTCTCAGCAGTGATTGCTGCTGGACATTGCATTTTTATAAAGAATTCCTTTGCTGCTGAAAGATAAATATTAAAATAACTTTTCTCTAGGTGCCTAAATAATGGATACAGTATCACCAGCCCAACTGAATTAAGACAAAATTTTTATATTTTTTGATTACAGTTGACATTTAAAATTATATTAGTTTCAGATGTACCGTATAATGGTTAGATATTTATATAACTTATAAAGTGATCTTCCTAAGTCTTGTACCCACCTGATACCATATATAGTAATTACAATTTTATCGACTGAATTCCCTAAGCTGTACTTTTACATCCTGTGATTATTTTGTAACTACCAGTTTGTATTTCTTAATTTTTTCAGTTTTTTCACCCATCCTTCCAACCCCCTCCTATCTGACAACCATCAATATGTTCTCTGTATCTCTGAGTTTGTTTTTATTTTGTTTATTTTGTTTTTTAGATTCCACATATAAGTGAAATCATAAGGTATTTGTCTTTGACTTATTTCACTTAGCCTAATACCCTCTAAGTCCATCTATGTTTTTGCAAATGGTAAGATTTGATTCTTTTTTATGACCAAGTAATATTCTATTGTATATATGTACCACTTCTTATCCATTCATCTTTTGATTGGAACATTTAATACATTAACACTTAAAGTAATTATTGATAGATATATAGTTATTGCCATTTTATTAATTGTTTTCTGTTTGTTTTTGTATTTCTCTGTTTCTTATTCTCTTGCTCGCTTATATGTTGATGACTTTCTGGAGTGTTGTGTTTGGATTCTTGTCTCTTTATTTCTTGTATGTAGATTTTTGGCTTGTGGTTACCATGTGCTTTTGTATACCAAGCTATGTTTACAGCAGTCTATTTTAAGTTGATAGTCACCTAAGTTTGAACACATTCTAGAATCACTACCATTTTTACTCACCCTCTTTGTGTTTATGTTGTCATTGTTTTTTACTTCTTTTGTGCATGTATATGTGCGTGTGTGTATGTATCCTTTAATTTGTAATTACACCTGATCTTCCTACTTTTTCTTTTAATCTTTGTACTAGCTTTATTGTTAGTTGATCTACTACTTTTATTATGTTTACCTTTGTTATTGAGAATTTTTTTTCTTTGTGATATTTTCTTACTCACATTTTTAATTTTTTCCTTCTTAAAGAAATCCCTTTAACATTTCTTGTAATACTGATTTGGTGGCGATAGACCTTTTCAGCTTCTTCTTGTCTGGGACTAACTGAATTTTTAATACAGCAAAACTTAACCAGAAATATTTATTTCTTTTTGTTGATAATTATCACTGACAAACTGTTGATTAGATAGAAGGCACTTTGCTAATTCTAGAAATGTTGTTTCCTGATGTTGAGAGACTGGTTTTAGAGGTGTTGTTAAAAGCCAGTGCAATCTTGAAGAATTTTAGATAGAAGTGAGCAAAAAGCATGTTCCTGAAACCAAGTTATCTTTACAGACTATTCTGTCTCTTAATATAATTTAGATGCCCATCCAAGAAAAAGAAGCTTCAAAGAAAGAAGTCATCCTTCTGGCAAAGATGAAACATCCTAACATTGTAACCTTCTTCAGTTCATTTCAAGGTTTGACTTTCTAGCATTTTTAAAGTATTTTAATAAAGTATAGGCATGTAGACTTCTGTAAAAGATATGTTCCTGAAAACTGTGTATAGTTTTTGTGAATGGACTAGTTTTCTCTTTTACTTAAATTGTAATTTGAGACATCATCTTTATTTCTTCTCTGGTGAGTTTTTGTAGATAGCTTTCCTAAGTTTTCTTAAGTTTCCCTACCTCTCCTTAATTCTTACTCCCTCAAATAATTAATGATTGATATATTAGCTTTGCTGTAGTAAAGCTAATATATAAAGCTGTTCTCCTGAGAGAGAAAAGAACAAGACACAGAGCCCGCCACACCATCACTCTCAGAGGCCTGCTAGGATGTGACACGTTTCTCATTTTCCTTATGTGCTCACATTCCTGATGCAGAGCTGCTGCGCAGCTAACCCTGATAATGGAGTGGTTGGGGGAGTGTATACTCTGCCCACATGAAGCCCTCAAGGTTGTGTGGCAAGAATGGGGCTGTCCAGTCCTCTTACAGAGATGTAGCCAACAGCTATCTGTTATGGCCAAGCAAATGGCAAAAATAGCGGGGAAAACTTTAAAGAGGCAATTCCTTCATTTACATACCGATATATAACATCTATCTGTATCCATCACTCTACTCCAAAGGTAAGAACAAAACAAAATAAACAAACAAATAAACATGAAAAGAGCATTGATCAGAAACCATCTATTCACTTACCAAATATTTGCTGAGTGCTTACTATATGCCAGGCATTGTTCTAGGTACCCAGAATAAAGCAGTGAACAAAACAAGTGAAAATTCCTGTCCTCATGGAGCTTGCATTCTAGTGGGAAGAGACGGACAATAAACGTATACAGTACATCAGGTGTTTATAGGCTGTGACAGGGCTGTAAATGCCCTTAGTTCACCGTGGGATGTCCCCCATCTCAGCACTCAGCACTGAGGGTGCTCAGATTCATAGGTGGTAAGTAGTTAATGAAGCAGGAGCGTTACCTGGATATCTATAAGCAACATCTGGGGGCTAAAAATAAGTAAATAAATAAACACTATTTTCTGAGCTTTTACACTGTGCAAAATACTATGTTTCTTACAAATGAAAACCACCGCATTCAAAAGAGTTCTCTGTGTGAAGCCTTCTTTGACTCCTGGGTGTTTAAAAGAGCTCTCAGGTTTCTTCTGAGGTCTTCCTTGGAGCCAAGCAGTACCCGTGAGCAGGAGTTGTGTTAAAACACTTTTAGGGGGCAGCCACTAAATAAAGTGTCCACATTTCTGGTCATCGATTCCTAACAAAGAGACGATCTTTCTTCTCAGTCTTTGGGTTATTATTGTAACTCCCTATTATTATTAATATTAATAATTACATTATTATTGTCTGACTACCTCTTATTCATCCTCAGCCCTCCTCTGAGATCACAGTTCAGAAATTAGCCCTTTTACTGATCTTGCCAAGCACCTTGTCTTTGTGCACATATGTCTATTTATATAAGCAATTCTGAATTGGTTTGACATTTGTCTCCTTTTTAGATAGAACACTAAATGGATTTTTTTGCTCACCACTTGATCCTCAGCTTTTGGCACATAGTAGGTGCTCAGTACACATTTGCCAAATGAGTGCATGGACTTTAATAGATTGGAGTATATCTTTATACCATGCAAAATGGATAGCAAGGACAGCTTACCCTGGATACTGTTATAAAATTAGTCATTTTTACAATATAAATAACCTCTGCTGAGTCCGTTAATGTTGTAAGCTTAAATTTTATGATAGCTTTTTTTTTTAAAGTAGAGCACCCCTGTGTTTAGAAAAACTAGAGCTATTGTGATGCCTTTGAGTTTGCCTGGAGATTTTTGGGACTCTCTAATAGCTTATCTGAAAACTATTAGAGAGTGTATGTAAAGCCTCTGCTTGCCCTTAGGCAACTTATTTCTGAACCGAAGAACCCCAGCTATAGTTCATTAAATATTTGACTACAGAGAGTATAAAGTTTTGTAGGTTTGAAGCAATATACGAAAATAAGGAGAATGTGGTGAGATTTTCCTAAGGCTACATTAATTCCACTTAAATTTCTTAAGTAAATATTTAGCAAGTACCTGCTATACACCAAGCCTGTTCTAGGTTTCAGTGATATATCATGGGGAACAAAATAGGAAAAAAATCTCTTCACTCTTTTCTGTTCCTGCATAACAGTGACCACATTGTTAATGGCTTAAACCAACATCCACTTATTATTTCCTGGTTTCTCTAGGTCAGAGGTCTGGGCTTGGCTTAGCTGGATTCTCTGCTCAGGGCCTCACATAGTTGAAATCAAGAAGTCAACTGGGGCTGCTCTCTCATCTGAGGCTCATAGTTCTCTTCCATGCTTATTCAGCTTATTGGCAGAATTCATGTACTTGTAAATGTAGGTCTGAGGTGTCTGCTTTCTTGCTGGCTGGTATGGTGGTGGGTGGTTCTCTGCTTCTAGATAGATGCCAACTTCCCTTCCCTGCCACGTGGCCCTTTCATAGGCCCTTTCCTGCATGGAATCCCTCACTTCCTCTGTCTCTGACCTCTAGACCCAGATACAAATGGCTCCTGTGATTAAGTCAGGCCTACCCCGACAATATCTTGTTCTATTAAAATCAGCCAATTAGTAAGTTTCATTATATCAGCAAAATCCCCTTTGTTAACATAATTCTGAGAGTGACATACCATCATATTTATAGATACTGCCCTCACTCAAGGGGAGGAAGGTATAAAAGGTGTGTGCACTAGAGCCACCTAAGAACCTGCCTGCTATAACTTTGGAGCTTATATTTTAGGGGGAAAGGGTGGAGAAAGACATAATAAATGTCAACATAATAAATACAATCAAGATAGTATGTTAGAAAGTGATAAGAGCTGTGGGAAAATAAAATAGGGTGAGGCAGGAGTGGAGAGAATGGTTTTAAATAGGGTGGTCAGGATGGGCTTTACTGTGAAGATGACATCTGAGCAAAGGCTTGAAGAGCCATGCCGATGTCTGTACAAGAGATTTCTAGGCAAGAGGAACAGTCACTGCAATGGAATGAGGCAAGAGCACATTATGAGTCCACTGATTGGAGTACTGCATATTCTTCTTTACATAGGCTGCTCCCCTCATTTCTAATTTCTAATTTCTTTAGAGCCGAGTAAGAATTTACAGATACTCTGCGCCCAGTCCTTTTAAAGCTTTCCCAGTTATTTTCCACTTGTCCCATTCAACAATTAAGTCAATGACTTAATTGTTTTTTAACTACTCACTTTTAGAGCCTTCAAAGAATTCAGTGTAGTTTTTGTAGAAATAATCACATCTTTCTTTTCCCATTCATATTTCATTAGTTATGTAATAAATACAATAACAAGTATAATTAGCATAAAGAGATTTGAGAACAAGCATGACCTCAGTAAGAATCAGTGGGAGAAGAGGTACCTGGGCATAGCAAAGAGTCTGATAGCCACCAGTGGAAACCTTGAGTGGGCAGCCATAGCGGAGTGTGCCCATTAATCTAGTGAGTCCTCAATAACATGGTTAAATAAGTGCCATATAAATAAAAGTTTATGCCCAAATTCAAGAAGGTCTATTTATTCTTCTTGGAGTGCTGGGAAAGACTCACAGCTGCTATTTTACAGCAGATTTCTAACCTTCAGGAATGTATTAATAATAATAGCTAACATTTTTTTTTAACTGTCATTATGTGTAGGCATTGTTCTAAACATTTGACATGGATTAACTCATTTAATCATTGCAACAATCCTAAGAAGAGTTTCAATATTATTATCTCCATTTTACAGATGAGGTAATGAGGCACAGGGAAATTAAAATAACTTGCTTAGAGCCACCGAGCTAAGAAATTTAAGTGGTGAAGTGAGATTAGAACCCAGTCCATCTTGATTCTATAGCCAGAGTTTTATGTATATTACATTTTTCTGTTATAGTCTCCATCTTCTGGAACTTGAAAGGTAGATGATTCGTAAATATCTGAAACCCCTCCAGAACTGAATGATGCCTTTTCTTACAGAGAACAACAGGCTGTTTATTGTGATGGAATATTGTGATGGTGGAGATCTCATGAAAAGAATCAGTAGACAACGGGGAGTGTTGTTTAGTGAAGATCAGGTAAAAAACACTTCTATACACTTCTAATTTTTAAAAAAATTTATATGGGAGGGTGTTACATTTATAATGCCACAAGTAATATACTGCATTTAGGTGAAGCATGTTTTCTGGCAGAGAAATTCAAACCACGACATAGTAGATCAATATTCTTGATAGATTTGGTCCAGAACATGTTTGCAATTGAACTTAAATTGAATCTCTTTTTGAGAGTGAAGTTCGCCTGTGAAAAGATAGTGTTTTATTTTTGAACAATCTCATGTAGCTGTCCCTGAGATAAATCTTCATGGCTAAAAAAAAAATCTGAATGTAGATGTTCCTTAGCCATTTTAAATGTGATATATTTATAGCTTCATTCTTCTTCCTTTTACTATTTGGTACCCTGTGTTAAAATAGCTATACCACTTTGCTAAGGAGGATAGAAGCTCTTCTTAGCAATAGCTGTTTTGTTTCATTGGTTATTGAGAGAGAAGCAAAAAAGTGAAGAACGATGGCCTTAATTTTCATTTTCTCTGTCAAACACATTCTTCTATACTCTGAGCTTCCTTTGGAAACCTCTTGGGAGTTGTTCTCATGAAGGAGACAGGTGTGTGTGTGTGTGCGTGTGTGTGTGTGTGGGGGGGAGAAGATCTGAATCAGGGCCTGCGTGATTGATGGGTCTCAAGCAGTGCCTAGGAACAGCCCACTATCTCTCTTTAGGCCATGTTTCCTTGGTCTTTTAGCATTTAAGAGCATCATGCCCATACAACTTCTTCCTAGAGTTAAAATGGAATATTTTGAATGTATCAATGATTAAAGAATCGACACCTCTAACCTCTTGAATTTAAGTATTTTTTCTATGCTTATTTACATTATATATTAAATTCCATCTTTGCAGAAAACCTCCTTTCTTCCTATCTAGGTATTATTTTGCCACATTTAATAAAAATGCTTCTCTATAAAATTTTAAATTTTAATTTCCCGTTGTTGGGAGAGAACTAAAGTTACAACTGAATTGTAGTGTCTGGAATATGGCTTTTTTTCCCTATTAATTTCCTCTTTCTGTATCATTTGGAGGATAGAGAACAAATAAAATTTTAGAATAGTTTAAATGAATCTCTATAGGCATAGAACACATTTTACTAAAGAGACTCATGACCAGCTAAGGTAAATCATGACTAAGAAAATTAAACTTTAAAAAGTTTAAAAGTAACATTTTGTTTTTATATCATACACATATGCATTGGTATTTCACTAAAAATTTTTAATATCCTTACATATTATCCATTTCTTTCTCTTTATCTCTCTGCCTTTGGCATCATCCTTCCACTGAAAAGGAAAAAACAATGGCACCAACATTATCAAGAGACAGGGCTGCTTGTCTATTTTCCTGATGCAGTTAGAGACCCAGTGTTAAGAAAAAAAGAAAATCACGACCAGCCTTCTGCTCTCCCTTGCTTCTGTTTGTCTTGTGTATGTGGTGTTCCCTTCAATGCCAACATGATTGGATTGCTTTACACTTCCATTGTTTTGGCTGTAAAAAGAAAATAATATGATAAGGTGGTATATCAATTAGCTTCATTCGTAGAAACACACCTACATAAGTATATTATTTCTCTTTTTGCATATTATCCTGAAGACACTTCAGCGACCACCAGACTACTCACTAGTTTTGTTTTATGTTCCCTGTATAGATTCTGAGCTGGTTTGTGCAGATTTCTCTGGGACTAAAACATATTCACGACAGGAAGATCTTACACAGGGACATAAAAGCACAGGTAACAGCTCAGAGAAAAGACCAAGACAGAACTGATCTTTTGTTTTCTCGAAATCTCTCAAACAACATAGCATTTTCTCCATTTATAGAACATTTTTCTTAGCAAGAATGGAATGGTTGCAAAGCTTGGGGACTTTGGTATAGCAAGAGTCCTGAACAAGTAAGTACTTTTAAAATCTTTTTTTTCCTATTCATAACTACCAAAAAATATATTTTTTAGGCATCATAAATTAAGAAGATATTAAAGGCTTGGTTTCCATATAATTTTAGATAACTGTTTATATACATCTACTAAATTATTCAGACTATTTACCTTGAGATAAAAATACCCAAAATAAATCTTGGTATAATAGAATGATGGTGGCAATGTATAGTGTGATTTAAACTTATCAAATGATATGTAACTTTAATATGCAGAAAGCTAGTGAGAATTTAGTAAAACAGGCAAGTTCACACATGCCAGGGAAAATATATTGGTGTAACTGTTTTGGGGGACAATTTGGTGGTAATATCAAGAGATTTTAAATGTTCTATTTTTGGTAATTTGTTCTAAGGGAATACTTTGAAATGTGGAATCATTTAAATGCCTAATAATTGGGAAATGATTGAATGTAATAGAATTTGGTATAGCCAGTACCGGAGTATTATATAGTCACTAACATTTGTGATTTGAAGACTTTTTGATGGTATGAAGAAATATTTGTTATATTAGGTGAAAAATGTAATTCTGAATTTTAAATATACTACGATCACAGTATTGTGAAAAATATGCATGGCAAAAAGACAGGAAAGAAATATATCAGAATTTTAACAGTAATTGTTTTGGGGTGGTAAGATTATGAATAATTTTATTCTTCTTTATTCATTTTCACATTTTCCAAAATTTAGGTCAAGAGATTGCATTGCTTTGAAAATTGGAAAGTGGGGACTCTTTCTACATCTGGGAGATTTTTGCAATATGATGATTGTACCTCCTTGTGGAGTTTTTAGGCCATAAAGTTTTTTAATGTGTAGATTTTAGGAAGGTTTAAAAATCAACTATTTCTGTTATTCTGTTATCAATGTACAGTACGTTTTTCTTTATTTTAATATGTGCATGCATCAAACTTTGTTACCTATTTTTATACTTTTTTCTTGCATGTCCATATCTTAAGCCTTTTTTTTTACTCCAGTAATAAACCGTGTTATTTTACTATTTAATTATTAGTTCCATGGAACTTGCTCAAACTTGTGTTGGAACACCTTACTACCTGTCTCCAGAGATTTGTCAGAATAAACCCTACAACAATAAATCGTGAGTTGCTGACTATAGGTTTGAAAGTCTCAGTAAAATCTGATGGATTCTCTCTTTCTTATGGTACTTTTGTAATTTCATTTTCTTCATGTGTGAAATGGGGATCCCAGTGACTGTCTCTGGCCACTTCAGTGTTCCCAGAAGTTTTTGAGCTAATTTAGAAAAAAGCAATTTTTCTTTATTTAAAGATACAAGTGATGGAAAGGATAATGTTGAAAATTGCAGTAATTGTGATGTTCCATCTTTGTATTTGATTTTCATATTGTCTAAGCACTATTTAATTTATTGCAGAAAAGTATTGTAGGTGGGCTAGATAGAAGGCAGCATGGTCTGGTGATGGAATATTGGATTAGGAGCTTGGAATCCTAGTCTTGTGTAGGGGTTCAGAATGAATTACCCCAGGATGCCTCAGTGGTATGTGGATTATTTTGAGCTAAAGGCAACCAAGACCCTGCGGGTTCAAGAGAAACTTCTGCTCTCTCTTAATTACCTAGAAAAATTTAAATTAGAGGCCTTGCCCATAATAAGAGATTATCAGAAATAACCTTTTTGACCTTTTCATAGGGCAGGGCAAACTTCTAATTACCGAATGTCTGCTCTTCTTATGTCTTCAATGACCTTCCTCCCCTCTGAAGCCCCAGGGTACTTTGCCTCATCCTTAGCTCACAATGTCATGCATATCTCATTTTCCCTTTCTGCCTCTGAACCTCTCATATATGTGGCGTCTCTGACTCTCTCATGTATGTAGGATTCCCATATGTACATATAGAATTAAATTTGGTTATTTTCTCATATTAGTTTGTCTCATGTAGATTTAATTATTAGACCAACTGGAAGAACCTTGAGGATAGAGGAAAGTTTCTTCCTTCTCCCAGTTGGCTCTGTCATCAGCTTGACCAAGTTAGTGGACCCCTCTGGACCTCAGTTCCCCTACCAGAAACAACAAGTGTTGGCTAGGTACTCATTAAGGTAGCTTTAAAACCCAACACGTCTTTAAGTATGTGATACCAGAGCCTAGTTCTCAGGAGTAGTGTTGATTTACACAATGATAAAAGATGAAGATGAGGTAGTTTTTACTTCCATGTAAGGAGAAGGAAAAATTTCACTTTTCAAAGCTGGCTGCCAGTTGAACCAGTTGGCCTAGTAGAAGACTGAATTCCTTTTATGAGTTAATTGTCCATTTGTTTAGGAAAATACCTGAGGGATATTTGGCTGTCTGACTTTGAAAGATAAATGGAATGCAAAGACTAGTTGGTAGAGATTTATAAAAAAAAGTTGTAAACATTTCTTTGCAAAATAAAAGAACAGGCATCTTGGGGAGCTATCCCCTGGCACCAAGAAAGGGTTTGGCCTTAAGTTTGGCCTCAGCGAGTGTAGGGCTGGGTGGAAAGGCAGGCTGTCCAGAGCAGAGTTTAGTGCTGCTGCGGGCTGAGAGGCCCAGGTTAAGCAGCACTGTTTTCTTGACTTGTACTGTTTTTTAAGAATTTGAGTCAACATTCATATATACTGATTTAGTACTTCTGATAATTAAGAATTTAGCAATGATCAGCTGTCACTTTTAGACCAGGAAATCATTCTCAGGGTCACCACAGTCCTCACCACACTGAGGGAGGCGTAGGCATGCAAACGTTCCCACCCAGTCAGGTGGCTTCATTCCCTGCAGGACCTCTGTAGGCACATGAATTCACTGCTCTGGCTACAGAGAGCACTCTGGGACAGAGGAGGAGTTTGGGCCTAGGGAAAACCAGGTAAAGAAAATTTTCTGTAATGGTGGGAAATAGTCAGTGAGTTTCTAAAAACTCTATACATTTGAAGTTGTTTCCTACCTATTGTGTGATCACCATTCATTGTACTCACACCTTTAGTATGTCTCTCTGCTCCTCCTGCCCACACACTCAAAGGAAGTGTTGCTAAATAGTAGAGCTGTTTACCTCTCATTATATTTTCTTTGGTCTCTTGGATTTAATTATGCCTTTTCTATAAGATAACTCCTTATTAAACCAATTTCGTGTAAATACTATGTACTAAGTACTAAAGAGCAAATCTCTAGTTATATATCGTAAGCACATTTTCCAAGTTTATTGAGTACCAGATACTGTGTTCATCACTTTGGTTCTGTCAATAGCCTTGATAGAATATGTTTTTCTAAATCAACCAAAATTTATTTTTTGAATCAAAACAAATCTCTGAGTCCTGCCTCCCTCTAGATTGTTCAAAATTCTGTACTCATTTTCTTTGAGTGCATGATGTTGAAGTAAATATTGAGCCATCATATCGTAGCCAGTTTTGTATACGTTTTCAGTGCTCGGATTCTGACAAACTATAAATTGTTTTTATTTTACCTCTTATATTAGTAAAAATAAGAATTGATACTGTATCTGAAAACATTTCTAAAAATTAATCAATCTATATAAAACTGTAAAGATATACAAATGTAAGGCGCTGTAAGGATAAGGCTTTTATTAAGAACGATGGATATTTTTTGGCACATAAACTCTTATCTTCTCCAGGGATATTTGGTCTCTTGGCTGTGTCTTATATGAGCTCTGCACACTCAAGCATCCTGTAAGTATGTTATTTGTCAGATTAATCTTGAATTATCAAAACTATATAAATGAAATTAACTTCTGAGATAAAAAGATTAATGTTTTGTTTTACTAGACTGTTAAAAATTATGTGGACAAGCTATTAAGAAGGGAGATCTATATAAATTGACATGGAAAGATGTCCAAGCTATATTATAAAGTAAAAGACCTAAGTTGGAGAATAGTATATATCGCATATTTCCATTAAAAATAAACTGTGTGCAGATGTATATAATCAGCAAAGGGAAAAGGCATGGGGCCAAGTCTGAAGGAAACCAGGCACATGCTTCCCAGAGCCTCTCTCCAGTAATCACATAGTCTTGCCTTATTCCTCTAGCAACAAGTTGTGACAACATATGTGAAATATTGCCTGCCAGAGAAGCTCATTAAAGACCCAGTGCCCAGGTTTTTATTGGGGACTGGTATGTAGGTACCCTCTGCCTGGCATGTACCAAGCTTCCAGCCTCCCAGGAAGAAAACAGGTGTTCAGTATAAACATATTGTTTACATAAACAATGTTGGCAAGGAGAGCCACTGCGAACATTCAGGGAATGGTGGGAACTCTCCTTAAGGCTAAGTTTCCAGACATCAGCCAAGGGCCAATATTGTAAGCAGGCCTTTCTGTGTGGAATAGTCTTAGGCCTACTGTGTTAACTCTTCTATACAGCTGCTGTCATCATCATCATCATTATTATTATCCAAGGCCACACAGCTAGTAAGTGTCTTACCAAAAACTGTATCTTTACTGCCACACCATGCTGCCGAACATTATTATTACAGTCATGCATTGCTTAACATTGGTGACACATTCTGAGAAATGCATTGTTAGGTGGTTCATCACTGTGCGAACATCTTGGAGAGCACTTACACAGACCTGGAAGGTAGGCCTACTACACACCTGCACTATATGGTATTGCCTATTGCTCCTACTGCAATGAATACCGTAGGCAATTATAATACAATGATATTTGTGTGTCTAAACATAGAAAAAAGATACAGTAAAAATAATGTATAAAAGATAAAGTGTGTATGTGTGCATGTGTGTGTGCAGGGATGGACAGAGGGTAGGTTCATGGGCTCCTTTCCTCCCCAGCCCGCACTCCTGCTGTTACCAACTGCAGGCCCCCATCACAGGCAGACACAGGGCAGGTGGACAGCATGCTCAGCCTCCTTGTCTATTTAAACCACCCAGAGCTGGCAGTAATTAAACATCACAGTTGGGTCCAGCCTTTCCTTTCAATATCATAAATAAACTTTTGCTTATAATCCATTACAGTTTTATTGGCCCACCATCATAATTGTGGTCTGTCATTGACTGAAACGTTGTTACATAATACATGACTGTATGTGTAAGTAATTGATGATTTCATACAATGGAAGATTTTCTGGTTTATGAAGAATTTTTGAGGAAGTCCTTATATTAATTTAAAAAGCAAGCTGTAAGTCAGGAGGCAAAATGGCATAAATGATAGAAGCTTCATTCATCCCCTCTTGTGACCGCATCAAAATTGAGATGGAAACGAGGAGCAAACAGCAATCAAAGTCGCCTGAGGTTCTAGATGAACAAGCCCTACAACTAGGGAGAGAAATAAGAAATCACCCTGCAACGGTTGGAGGTAGGAGGAGGTGAAGACTCTAGGCTGCCCAGTCCCCGGCAGCTGAATGAGACAGAGGCTGCGGCAGCTGCAGACACCTCTTGAAGGGGCCGCGTCCACAGGTGAAATTTCACGGTGATGGACCAGCTCACTCTGAGCACCAGTGCTGGGTTGCCTGCTGGGGGGACACCAGAGATTTATAGGGGGACACTTAGCTGTCAGAGCAAGAGTCAAAGTGAGGCTCTCTCCCAGACAGACAGAAGTGCCAGTGGTATCCATTGTTCCTCTTTTGAGCCCTTCCCGCTCCCAGTCAGTGGACACAGCGCCTCCATTGCTGAAATGTCATCAAACTGGATAACAGAGGTCTCTCTGCCCAGAGGATTCCCTGAAACTCCGCCTTCCCCAGCTCACTACCCCACCTAAGCCACATCTAGCTGTGCTCCGTGAGTCCAGTGCTCTTTGCTGAGCAGTGCCAAGACTCACACTGGTGGCAACTGACCTCAGTTTCTGGCAGGGCTTCTTGAAGCAACTCTAAGCACAGCATCTGTGAATTGGTTGCTGAATCTTAACAGGTGGCCCCAGAGGGAAACAGGCTGGGGCTAAACTTGATCTACAACTGAACCCCTCTCAGGATTGTGCTGCTGGGCACCTACTACACAAAGCCACGCTAGTAAGACTGGGAGGCTTAGGAGCTTTGCTTAGTACATAGAAATAGACACAGAAAGGCAGCCAAAATGGGAAGACAAAGAAGCAGAAACCATATGAAGGAACAGAACAGAGATCCGGAAATAATGGAGTCAAACAATCTAACAGATGCACAGTTCAAAACAATGGTTATAAAGATGCTCAATAAAATCAAGGGAAGTGTAGATGAATTCAGTGAGAACTTTAACAAAGAGATAAAAAACATAAAAATGGAAATGGAGATTATAAAAGGGAACCAGTCAGAAATTAAGAATAAATTATCTGAGATGAACAGTATATTAGAGGGAATCAATAGAGTGGAGGAAGAAAAGAATTGAACCACCAATATAGAGGATGGGGAAGCCAAGGTCACCCAATCAGAATGGCAAGAAAAAAGAAGCCAAGAATGTAATAATAATTTAAGGAGTATTTGGGACAACATAAAGTGTAAAAACATTCATGTAATAGGGGTATCTGAAGGAGGAGAGGGAGAACAAGAAGTAGAAAAGCTATTTGAAGTAATAATGATGGAACTCTTTCCTAACTTGGTGAAGGAAATTGACATACAACCCCAGGAAGCTCAGAGAGTCCCCAAAACCAGGAACCCAAAAAAGCCCACACTAAGACACATCATAATTAAAATGCCAAAGGTTAAATACACAGAGAGAATCTTAGAAGCAGCAAGAAAAAAATCAATTAGTTACTCATAAGACTGGCAGCTGATTTTTCAAAAGAAACTATGCTGGACAGAAGGGCCTGGCCCAAAATACTAAAAGTGTTGAAAACCCAGGACCTCTTTATCCAGCAAAGCTATCATTTATCCAGCAAAGCTATCATTTCGAGTCGAAGGACAGATAAAGACAAAAATAAACTAAAGGAATTTATCAATACCAAACCAGTATTACAGGAAATGTTGGAGGGACTTCTTTAAGAAGAAAAAGCATGTATCAAAAACATGAATACAGAATGGTAACAGCTACACTCCTATGAACAAGTACCTCAAATAGAAAAGAATTAAGTTCTCCAACCAAAAGATAGGAAGCTGAATGGATAAGAAAGCAAGACCCCTACCTATGCTTCCTACAAGAGACTCACTTCAGATTGAGGGGCATACACAGACCAAAAAGAAGGAGATGGAAAAAGATATTGCCTTGATGGACTTTGAGGGTATTGCACTGTCAGAGAAAGACAAATACCACATTATTTCACATACACGTAGAATTTAAAGAACAAAATAAACTACAACAAAAACAGAAGTAAACTAACTCATAGATACACAGAATGTTATGAGGTCTACTAGGTGGGAGAGAGGTTGGGAAGACCGTGAAAAAGGGCAAAGGGATTAAGAAGTACAAATGGATAGATACAAAATAGTCATGGAGGTATAGGTGTAGCATAAGGAAAATAGTCAACACTGTTGTAAGAAATATGTAAAGGGGAAGAGCGATACTTGATTTAATGAAGTGACCACTTTGTGAGTTATATAGATCTCTAATCACTAGGCTGTACAACTGAAACTAATATATTATTGTATGCCAACTATAAATAAAAAAAGTCATCGAGTTGTACAATGTAAATATGAGCAACTTATTACCTATTATATTTCAATAAAGCTGGGAAAAAAATTTTTTAAAGCAAGATGTAAAATTTTGTATCATTGTGACCGCAACTCTATAAAACAAATATAATTTTTAAAAAATATTAGAAGGAAATATAACTCTGGGTAGTAAAATTTATAAAGTTTTTTCCCTGTTTGTAACTTCCTGTACCTTCCAGTTTTTTATAATGAGTAAATATTATTTTATAAAAAGAAAAAAATTAAAACTAAAAAAATCTTGCCTTAAATAACATGCCATCTCATTGAATAATTGCGTGTAATATCTACTCTGAAATATTAGTTGATAGAAACAATTTAGGATGGAACATGATGCTTCTAATTGAAGCTTTAAAGCATTGTTTTGTTTCATAATACTACTTTAAATACTAGTATTGAATTTTTCCCTAATTTAGGATTATTATTTCTGTCCTTTCAGTTTGAAGGCAACAACTTACACCAGCTGGTTCTGAAGATTTGTCAAGCACGTTTTGCCCCAGTATCTCCAAGGTTTTCCCGTGACCTTCGGTCCTTGATATTTCAGCTCTTTCAAGTATCTCCCCGAGACCGGCCATCTATTAATTCCATTTTGAAAAAGCCCTTTTTAGAGAATCTTATTGCCAAATACCTGACTCCTGAGGTGAATTTTGAGGTATTTCTGTCTGGATTTTCACAGAGATTTCAATTAGCAGGTCCTTGACACATGTGTTTGGTTTTAGATCATTCAGGAAGAATTCAGTCACACCCTCACACATAGAGCAAGATCATCAGCTTCTAAACCTGCTGGGAAGCTGGTCCTAGGTAAGAATGATTTAACTATGCAATAAAAAAAACATTTATTACTTGTATCTCATCTTGTGAGTCACACTAACATTAGCAGGGAAATTCCACCAAATGTATTGGACGTGGATATTTAAAAATATGAGCAACATAAGCAGGAGAAAAATCATCTTCCAGTGGTGACTAGTGGGTGCGCTTATATAGCTGGCTCATGTATGACCTGGAGGAGTCATCTCCTCTCTACTCATAAGTCAGGAACACTTCATGGAGCAGTATATTTGCTAATGAAGAGATGTTTGAGGAGGTAGAATCCAAACTTGTA